TAAATTCTTCCCTAAGTACCCAAGCTGGAATTTGGCCTGGACTGCCCTACTTTTTCCAAGAAGTACCATAGAATTATAATTAAATCCCCCATGCCTCCTTCAAAAGATTCCCCAGTTTTCATTTCTGACCCCCATTCCCCCTTCCTTATTAGATGCTTATTTACACAGATTTTGGGGCATTTACCTAAATCACCAACATGGAAAAAGGAACAAGATGGAAGTTGGAGGAGTGAGAGAAAAGGTAACTAAAAATTGCTACTAGTTTTAACAAATTTGTGCAGCTGGCTCTGAATGCCACACTATCATGGTAGACTAAAGGACCCAATATCATCACCACCAGCTGTCTTAACATTGTTGATAGTTTTGCAATGCAAGTTTTCCTATCTATCATAAATATACACTGAACAAAAGGTCTATCATTAAAATTAAGTTAGCTAAGGTATTTCAACCATTAAGTCTTCTTCACAAGTTATAAAAGAGTAAGAAATGAAAATGTTCTTACAGATCCTAGAACAATGTGAACAAACATAAATTTTATGTTTAACATTTATTTACAATAAAATTATTTCTATTTGCAGTCAGAACGCCAATCCATTCTTCTCATGTACATAAAATCATCCTTACATGCATATCTATAGACACAGTTAGCTTGTGTGGTTACGTGCATGTTTTATTTTGTGATGTAAGTGTGACTTCCGCCATGGAGCAAAGGAGGAGGAAATGGCAATCCTTAAGTCAGCATACTAAGTTAAAAGTTACTTGCACTGAACTGCAGTAAGCACTTTTACCTATAATCCATTTGTAGGTAAGTTTGCAGCAAGAAGGTTTTATTAAAAACAGGAAGTACTATGCTTAAAGTTAAAACGTGCTGAAATGGCTTGTTGAATTGAAGTCTATAATTGTGGCAAACAGATTCACTCTTAGATGAAACATGTATAAAGTTACCTAGCCCAGATAATTTTGTTTTAGTTTAAATACCAAACCTAATCTTTCCCACTTTGCAAAAATGTTCATCCCTCTCAAACCCACTCCAGTTTCAAAATTTAATTCTGCTTATTAGCTATCCACCATAGGACAAACCTGAGACATCAGACTAGCAGCTCAGTTATGGTTACTGCTGTAAAGAATGGGGCCTCTAATAGGAAATGGAGGGACATTTCTTTTAACGGAGGTGTGATGTTTTATGTGCATACTTGCTTACATACAGACTTATTGTAATATTTACTGAGCATATTTATTCCTCATGGTCAAAACTAAGTATTTCATAGAGTCAGGAAAAAGTCTACTGGGTATCCACTTAAAAAAATATTCACTAAATTAATGTCACTTTTGGTTCCTTGCTTAAAAAGTTACTTGTAAACTCATAGACTCATAGACTTTAAGGTCAGAAGGGACCAATATGGTCATCTAGTCTGACCCCCCGCATGATGCAGGCCACAAAAGCTGACCCCCCCACTTTCCCTTAACTCTGCTGTTGAAGTCTCCAGATCGTGATCTAAAGACTTCAAGTCGCAGAGAATTTTCCAGCTTGCGACCCCTGCCCTATGCTGCGGAGGAAGGCGAAAAACCTCCAGGGCCACTGCCAATCTACCCTGGAGGAAAATTCCTTCCCGACCCCAAATATGGCGATCAGCAGAACCCCGAGCATACAGGCAAGATTCTCTAGCCAGACCCTCATTTTACCAGCGATGGCCGTTATTGCCTAATTGATTAGAATCCCGTAATCCCATCAAACCATTCCCTCCATAAACTTATCTAGCCTAATCTTGAAGCCAGAGAGGTCTTTCGCCCCCACCGTTTCCCTCGGAAGGCTGTTCCAAAATTTCACCCCTCTGACGGTTAGAAACCTTCGTCTAATTTCAAGCCTAAATTTCCCCACGGCCATGCATTAAAGCCTTTTAGGCATACTAAACTTATTTTTTTATTATTACAGTAATAGAAATTGGAAACGGGAGGGATGTTAGTTTATCTAGTTCACCTTACGCATAATTATTCCTTATTGTACATTTGTTCGTGTTTGGGTCAGTCAGGTATCAATAGTCACATGTGATGGGACTTCCAACACTTCCTTGTGAGTATTACACATCATAATATTCTCCTGTATGAAATTTTCCCTTCGGTTTCATCCTATTTCAGAAAGTTATATGCCCTTGTACCACCCAAGTAATTCCTCGTCTCCTCACCAGTGTTTATACATTAAATATTTGTAAAGTGTCATGCCCTCCCCTTAGTAATAGATTAACAAAGCCATACATATTTGCTAATTTGCCTTAAATCCGTGCCTACCGGCCCCTGATCATTTTTATTGTTCTTCAGTGAACTTTAATTTGTTAATACCTTCCTGGCAAAGAGGCAGCAGAAAGGAAAGTGTCAATGAGATCAGAAAGAACAATTATTACCTCCCTGTTTTATGAGATGAGTGTCTAGATACATAGCCCAGAATTGCATTGGCTTTTTTCTTTCTTTCTTTCTTTTGTTTTTTTTTGAAGTGTTAAAGCACAGTGCAAGCTCATGTCTAATTTGTTGTCCATTATCTCACATAGGTCTTGTTCAGTAGTTTTGTTTTCTGGACATACTCCCTAATATTTATTTTTTGCATTATTTTTCCATAGCAAAAATATCATTAGAAAAATGCAAGCCAAACTCAAATCTACAATATTTTCTAGTCCTCACTAGTATTCACAACTCTACCCAAATTAGCATCTGCATTTCATTAACACGTTAATTTTACTACTACTTCCAGATTATTAAGGAAAAAATACAAATAAGATCAGCCCCGACTGATTCCTTATGTAGATGCAGGACCTAAAAGTAATGTTACACTGATTAAAAATATTATTTAATAAGGAGATTACCATATCCAATCAACTGAAGAAATTCTTTTTAAATGAAAAAAAATGAAACTGAAAAATAATCCCCCTTTTTTTGAGAGATAACTCAATGAACAAATGTGAAAATGAACAATTCAACTCTGGTACGAACATGCGCTTGTCCCAGATCTGCCTAAAATCTCCCTAATAGTAACTCTAATCTCCGTTCTTATAAAAGGAAAAAATTACTTTAGTGATACACAGAATATTTATTATTTGGGTAGACAACATTTATGCATTCTGTGCCTAAATGGCACTTTAGAATAAGTTAATAGCTGGTTTACAATACAGTAAAATTTGCCTTATTACAGAGTATTTGCCTCAATACCTCAATATTTTTTTAGATCCAGAATTCAAACAATTCGAACAAGAGAAATTTACCATTATAGTTCATCAGTACATGCATTTAATCTCACACCTTTAATAAAGTTATTTTTAAATTTGTAGGCAGTGTTAAATGTGTATTTTAAATTCTGAATTTGTTTTGTTAAAGCATGAAACTGTTCATGTAGATATTTGCTAGATGTTCTCTACATCTAAAATCACCAAAAGCAATGTATAGTAATGACACATATCAGAAGATCATATCCCAGAATATTTACTGTCTACCCCCAATTTGCTGTTTTATGCTCTGATTTAGAAGCTGCCTGGGTAGGAACAGAAGTCTCAATTATATTGTCGAGACAGGAAACAAACACTGCTCCCATTTAATAACTGTCTATCTGCTTTGATTGGTTGCAGTTAATATTAATAACATAACCTTTAAAAATGGTAGGGAAAAGCCAATACTTTATATTCATTCCTGATATTAAGGTTCAACAGCAAGTTTAATGAGTAGCCATTATAAAATCATATTGCTAAATAGTACCTTAACTCACAATTCTGCTTATATAATTGCATCTGGATTGTAGCTAACAATTACTATTGATATATCAAAGTTACATCTTGAGTAGTGCAATGCTAGAAAGGTATCTCATGGTTACATTATTAACCATTATAGGGGCTTAGGCAGCAAAATAGATTAAATGAACATGGCTTTTTCTTCAGGAGCCCGAGATTCAAGTTTTGCTTACAACTGGAAACAATCCAGTAGTCTCAAAACTAGATGACATGTCCACACCACAAAACCACCATATAATTGGCAGACTGTTCAGGAATGGAACAGCAGTGGGGACTGCAGGTCAAGATTTAGGCTCATTGGCAGAGCTAACAAGGAGGGCATGTATGGTACCTATCCACGCTATATTGTGTCTGGCTCTAAACAATGCTGTCTGTCTTCACTAGCAAAAAGTGTCATCATATTCATCCAACTATCAATGAACAAACAAAAATAATTAATTACATTTATAAGTGACATTTTAAAGACCAAACATATACGACATTATAATCTTTATGAAAATAGATCAATTTCAATATTGCTTGCCTTGTGTTGTGTGATTTTTTTTAAAGGGCAAGTGTTCTCCTGGACAGCTGCCAATACCCTACTGTAAAATATCCTTAAAGCAAGACAAACTCTTCTGTACTAAATCTTTTTAATCTTTTCTTTTCCTCCTCGGAGAAAAGGTCATTTTCTTCATGGAGTGGACTGGAGGCAAAGTCATAGTCTCTAGAATGACCCTTTACAAAAGTAAACAAGGGATATTTCTCCTTAGATGAAGATTTCAGCATCTATAATGCAAGATAACATACCGGATAAACTGTTAATTGAAAATGAAGGGGTACAGTCCCGGGGTGTATTGATCTAATTACAGTCGCACATAATTTGCAACATGCATATTTGTTTTTATTTTCATTTGTCACATTAGAATAAAAACACTGCACAGACTCTCAATAGCCCACTTCTTCTGGTAAATAAATATGTTTCTAACTCAGCCACCTCATGAAACAATAGCCACACTTGGAGTTTCAGGCCCCAATCTTGCAACTTGTTCCACACAGGCGAACTGAACCACTACACATATGCAGAACTCCATTAGCTTCCACTCATGTGTAATGAGTTGCAGAACAGTCTTCATATCCTCTGTCATCTCTTGAATTGCAAGCAGGATTTGTGGGCACGTTAGCACCTTCTGGAATTTCTGGAAGCATTTTTATGGCAGAAACAGAGAACCTATAGCTATCAATATTTTTATTAAGTTTAAACATATACATTTAAGGGAAATAAGCCAGCTCAAGAGCAGATAAATCTGACAGTGGACTAAAAATGCTAACAGACAGCTTTTAATTACATGCCAGAAACCTCCCTGGGTATGTCCACACTGCACACTAAGCTTGGGTTCTGATTCAGGTTTGAGCTCAAGCCCCTCGTCAGTTCCCACACAAATCAGTCTGACTCAGGTCAGCAAACACTCAGGTCCCAGGTCCTAAGGCCCTGCCAGTAGGGTGCGTCAGAGTCCAAATTCCTCAGACTCAGGTCCAAGCTCTGTCATTCTGCAGAGTAGATGCAGCTCAAGCTGCAGACTGGAGTCAGAAGGTCTGCGCAATGCAGTATGGATGCACTAGCATGGCTGAGAGACCAGGGTCCAGCAATTGTAAACCCAGGTTTATGATGCCGTGTGGACACTCAATCATGGGCTTGGAAATACCGAGTCCACAAGCCCATGTCCCACAGACCTGGATTTACAATAAAGTGTAGACATACCACCTGTCTCCTCAGAGACTAGGAAGCTGAGCCTCTATCAAGGAAGCTATTCATGCTAACAGTGATCAGTCACAGGTACAAATAAAAAGTTTTAATAGTAAGTGTTACTGGCCCATATACAAAAGGGCTTAAATGTCTTTTCCACTGTTTATTTAAGGGATTCAACACCCACTGAAGTTTAAAAAAATTGCTGATCACCTTTGACAGTAAATCTCAATACACAGCTATAGTATATGCAAAGCTACATTAGTCTACAGATATAACCTGCATTGAAGTGATCAAACTATGAACTCCAAAAATAATTTGTTTTAATGAGAAACAATCTGAAGCACTAAAAAACTTAAATAGATATTTAAGCAGTATGAGCTATTTAAAAAAAAAAAAAGGCACTGGAAAATTATGCTCCAAGTAAAATCAGATTCTGCAATTTTTACTGTGCTCTGCAATTTTCCACTTTATTCTAGACTATTTAAATTCATTCTATTATTGTACTGTGAAACCTGGGGAGTAGGGCAAGGAGAAAGTGAGAGACATGCAGACAACTGAGATGAGCAGAAGGCAATGAAAAGGGAAAAAGAAAAGAATGAGTACTGGGGAAGAAAGAAAAAAGTTTAGACAAGAAGAAAGACTGTAGATCTCAGGGGACTGGGTAATTTTATATAGAGCCTTTCATCACTAGGTCATTAGATGAAGCCAGACCTAGGTCAGTAGCAACTGACAGTCACATGGCAGCTGTTTGGTGGCTTGTGAAATGGGTTAGTACACATAGTCCAACTCCTAAATGACATGTGTCTGCAACACAAAAGCCATCACCACAGTTTCAGAGAAGCCAAAGAAGTATCGAGACTGAACCACTGTCTCACCCTTAAAGGTGGTCCCTCTATGTCAGGACTGAGATACATGAATGAGGCAGCATGGGAGATGACAGAAGATTTCATTCTTTAGAGCCCCTATTCTGACACCTCTTCGAGTACTAAATACTAAGGGAAATTATAAAAGATTAGAGAGAAAGAGAAAGTCAACTAGAAAAGGCAGCAGAAAGCTGATCATGAAACAATTGCAGTATGGAACTTGATTAAAATGAGCAATTATTTCCAAATTGCATATCACTCAGGGACTACCACTACCTTCCAAGTCAATGGGCAAATTCTGGATGTGGGTTTTCTTAATCAGTATTCTAGCTTTCAAAAAAGTTAATGCAAAAGTGTGTATGTACATAACATTTGTTATATAAGATACTTCCACCCAGACGTTCACGTGAACAGGAGACAATTATCAGAAGAGATCTCATTAATTTGACATACTGAGTCCCATTAACCAACTGCAATGTTTCTAAAGCATTTATTTCTATTGTATCTGCTCAATGGATACAGATAACAGAGAGGACACACACTTCCAAATGAATAAATCCCTGTGGTTCTCAAACATGTATATTTTTTTTACAACCTCCCTTTTTTGGTTTCACATACAAATTTGATCACTGTTGCATTTCTACCAAAGAAACACCCATTCTAAAAAAACATGAACAAAGTAACTGAATAGTGTTCAAAGAGCTGTTTGTTTTTCAATTTAGTTGGCTTACAAAACACACACACTCGCGCACACAGGGAAAGCTTTATCCTGAACCAGAAGTATCATTGCTTGAGTGAACTATGAGATGCTGCAAAAGCATGATAAAAACAGCTCTGCAGCCTGAGAACCACTGCTCTCTCTCTCTGACCAAAACAGGAATTTAGCTACATTTCATAATTTTTGTAAAAATTTAAAGTACACGGTCAGTAATTAACTTTCAAAGATTAACAACTTTATTTTTTGTGATTTCAAGAGTATATCTACACTGCGTTTTAAAACCAGTAGTAGCAAGTCTCAGAGTCTGGGTCTACAGAACCCTATTACGTCACTTGCCACAGAAGCAAGAATCGGAAATCCTTCATTAACCTAACCTGGGTGTCCCCACTCGGAAGTACACTGTGCTACCATTCAAGGCATTAAGTTACTCTTAAAGTGATAATAAATGAACAGAAAAGTAGTAGTCAGAGGCAGAGCAGGAAAAATGAACAGACTGATGGGGCAGACTGGAGAATGACAATAGGGTTGTTCTTCACACAATATTCATATGAAAACTTTACTCTTTTTTTTGGAAAATACATAATCTATTTTGGGGTATACTTACATTGATGTCATCATATTAATATTAAAGAGCCCCAATCCAAAATGCTAGTAAAATAGTTTTAAGACTAAAATCAGCTCCTTTGACATTAAACTAGATGCTGTTTCAGAGCATCCAACAAATGGATGGGGAGAGAAATTCACCTGGCCTGAGATTTAAGAGGAAGACAATGGAAAAAAAAAAAATAATAAGAGAAGGTTCTTACATATCTCAATTTCTCATTCATTATTCTGTCATGTTCTTAAATCTCCTCTCAAACACAGCAGGGCAGATAAACTAAATGTAATGAAACTTTGCTTTATAAACTTTCATTCCATGTCTTTATTGCTTGGAGTGCCTGTCCTCTAAATCTACTTTCTAGTCCTCCATGTCTGAATCATACAAAAGAAAAAACTTCAGCATTAACCAAAAATCTACTGACCACAATATGTGGTTACTAAGTTTAAAATCTGGATATTACTTATTGGTTCATACCTTATCTAATAAAAATATTTATCACTTACATAGAAAGTTATATTTTCTAATGTTGTACAAGCCTTAATTCCTTGCACAGACGTGAAAACCATTATGGCACATGTAATAATATTGTGATGCATCTTTTGTTATTGCTGAATCCTTTTATAGGCAATTTTTGATAATAAAACATTTGGTTGTTTGGTACCATAGCTAACACAACACACATTAGCACTATATCACATTATTGGCATTCATACACTGCAATAGTCTAGAAGAAAACATCTGTCAATTAAATTCAAACCTACCTAAATAAACCTATTCCTATGTTCTTAAAGTGGAATGGACATGATTAGGCAGGTTTACTGGATGATACCTGCTTTGCTGATTTAAAACAATGCTTTCAAGTCATAAAAACACTGCTTTATCTTTAAATGTAATCAAAAAAGCACTTATACTAACAAGAAATAATGCACAGTTTTGCTTTGCTCAAATATTTCCATTTCTTAAAAATTTCATCTCCAAGGGATGGATTGCATTTTAAAAATTCCTCTTCAGGTAGAAGACAATCCAATGACTGTAAAAGGTGCTGTCTGCAAAAATATTTTCATTTCAATAGTGCCACCTAGTGGAATAATCTTATACTGAGTCTAGAAACCAGTGTAGTATCTGTTATGTTTCAGTCTGTCTCTTATATTCATCATCTCATCTCTTAACACACAATTACGGTAGTTATTCTCCTTTTTGACTTTACATGTTCATATTATGGGATGTAAAAATATTCTAGAATTCTTGTATGTTTGTGCTTCATCAATAACCCCTATTTCTAGAATAGGATGGGTTCTATTTAGTATATTTAAGACTGTATTTTCTATCCTTAATATATATAGTACATACTATAGTGAGTATCAGACAGATATTAATTTCATAATTTCAACACTTACCTTAGTTATTTCTTCAGAAATTCTTTCAAAGTCTTGCATGTTTCTACAATAAAATCCTATTGTACAGCTAGGATCCATGTTTTTGAATGACATCTTTTTGGGGGAAGGACAGTGAAATGACTGCAATTATGGAGATAAAAACATTTTAAAAGATATTTTAAAGACATGAGGAAGGCATAGATATCAATGCACTTGCCTTTCTATTAATGGTTTTAACATATAATTCACCATGCCACATATGCTCCAAAACCCATACAAGTTTTTAAAGTTATTTCTGTTCCCCAAAACATTCAAGTTATTGCATCCCTGGACATTCATAAGATCACATAGTACTGTTTATATTCTATTTACCAAACTTCCACACTAGGCCACATTAATGCCAGTCCAAAAAAGGATGTGAAATCTGTCAAAAGTTGGAGGCTCTAGAAAGCATTTTATGAATATTCCCAAGGTAGAGAAGGTGAATGCTCCTCTGCAAAGTGCATTTGTAGCAGTATTTGAACTCTTACAATTATTGCTTTACCACCACCTCCCATTTCCCCCACACCTCCCTAAAAGAAAAATGATGGAATATATTTTCATTAGCAAGAGAAATGGGTAAAAAAAAAGGGTGAGTACTACAATATACCACAAGCACAAAAAACCACTTCATATTTTACACACATAAGGATTTTTATTTTAAATGCAAAATTTGTTCTTCTGATCGATGACACATTGACAGCCTTTGAAATGGAAACTACGAGCAATAGCTGTGCAAACTTCCCCCCCACTACTTCACCCAGATCTAGAAAGAATACATATAGGGTAGTTCACTTCAGTCTCCATGCCCATTTAATTACTACAGAGCGTGAACATGGGTAACAGTTGTTGGTTTTGTGTTTATTGGAGCTGGACAAAAGTCATTAACTCATTTCACATGTCACAGTATAGCCACCTGATGGTTAAACCATTTGGTCACTACTGATCTAGGCTGCAGTCAGTGATCTAAAGGGGTAAGGCTCTGTATCCTACTACTACCCAGAGATATCCATACCCCAGACCCTCCATTAAATCACTAATAATCCTCTTATAATAGCTTAGTATTTAAATCTAACAAATCTTAACGCTCCACATTTCATGTTCTACTGAGACTGGACTAGTATTTTATTCTCGGAGTTCTTCCCAAGTGACCGATACGAAAGGAAGTAATATGAAATACATATGTAGCTGTGCATCAGGCACAAACTCAGTTAGCTTATCCATGTGTCAAAATAACAATTGTTAAGTTCTAACCTGACTCTACAGAAATAGCAACAAAGCAAGTTAATATCCAACACTCTATTGGTGTAGAATCCCTCTTCCTAACACCTCCCTACTTTTCATTTTTGAGCTGGGTAAAAAGCAGATTGGCAAGAGTACAGATTGCTACATAAAATTTTAAGGTGTTTCTCATTGTGGTAGTTGTACACTATTGGCATGTACTGCTCTTTACTACTGACTGGTCCAATTACAAATAGAACAGTTTACATTTTACATTAAATTTTGTTACAAAATCAATAAAGACTAGCAAGTTATATTTCTGCAAGACTGTTACACCTATTTATTGTGTTTTCCCTAATACTGCCCAAATATTATATTCAGTTCACAGTTAATCAAAGTAAGATATTGGGAGTCTGCTTTAAGAAAAGCATTCTAACAGTAACATTAAAGGTGGTATTGGAACATCTTAAGACAAGTTTTGTAGTATGTTCAGGAGAAGTCTTATTAATGCTGTGAAAGTCACTACCACAGAGAGATGTGGATAGGCATATTTTTTTTCATTCATCCAACAAATGGATTCTAGAAGCCAATACAGAGTGGATTGATTTCCAACTTATTCTGGACAATTTGTCAATTTTGAAAATATTTCCTACAGAGAAAGCTAACAAGCTATTATCCACCCTAAGGCCTGGTCCACACTAACCCCCAACTTCGGACTAAGGTACGCAAATTCAGCTACGTTAATAACGTAGCTGAATTCGAAGTACCTTAGTCCGAACTTACCGCGGGTCCAGACGCGGCAGGCAGGCTCCCCCGTCGATACCGCGTACTCCTCTCGCCGAGCTGGAGTACCGGCGTCGATGGCGAGCACTTCCGGGATCGATCCCAGAATATCGATTGCCTGCCGCCGAACCAGGAAGTAAGTGTAGACGTACCCTTAGAGAGCAATTTCTGTTTACATTCTGACACTTCTGGACAACTCATACATTACTATTCAATGCACTGAGCATGACCTTCCGATACACGATCCTGTATCCAGAAAAGCAATATGACGTGATCAAGCCAAGCTGGCAGCTTCTGCATCTTCAAAATACATTTAAAGTATATTATTATTTGGAAGTTCATATTAATGACACCCAGCAGCATACTCTGGTGCATAAATCACTGGACTAGGAGCCCACAGATGTAGGTTCTATTCCTGGCTCACTGAGGTGCTCTATGACCTTGGATAAGTCACTTCACCTCTCTTTGCTTCTGTTTCCCCTCCCATCTCTTATCTAGTTAGACTGTAGGAGCTTCAGGGTAGGGACTGTATTTTATTATGCACTTGCACAGTGCTTAGCAGGATGGGACACTGATACTAGTTAGAGTCTACAGGCACTATCCTAATACAAATAAAGTTAGCTCATTTACCAACTTCCATCTGAGGACCTCAGAAGGGTACTATAAGTTTTAGAAGAAAGTTTTAGGTATAGCACATTTTTTTTGCTTGAGACTATAAAAAAGACCTAAATCTCTTTTAAAATTCAGAACCACTAGTTTTCTAGGGGGAACTTTATAATCTCAGACTACATGACACCTTAATTAAAGCATCTTGTTAAAATTAAACATTAAAATTAGTTTTCATTATTGCTTTAACCCTGTGCTAGGTTTTAAAATTATATTTACTAGTGTTTATATAAGCTTAAAAGTGTCTAAACAGTTCTGCTAAACACACTATTTGATAATATTTTGATTAAGATATTATGATTGACTTCAGCATGTTACCTCTTTGAGGCTGGTATGTTAACTGCACTTTACTCACAATAGTATTGACAAGGAAATTGAAATAATTCCTGCTCTTCTCTCTGTTTTTAAACCAATTGTTATACAGCAGCAACAGCTTTGGGGCCACAATAAAGTTGTATACTTCATTACAAACCATTTGACTTATGTTTTAAATTTAACTAAATGTCATCAGTTTAAGAATGTGCTGAATTCCCCAATTGGCAGGTTAAAGGATGCACTCACAACACGTACGCTTAAAAGGGTATTTCTTCCCCCACCTCCAACCCTGTGCAAGTATCTGCAGCAAAACTTTAAGTGTCACCATAGTATTCATTATGCTGGTGACATCACAGCCACAGAACCTGCTGGTACCAACTAATATGGGGGTAAGTAAATGTCTCTCCCTCCCCAAATATGGTGTGATTTTGTGAAATTGTGTTTTAGGTTTTGTAATGTTTAATTGGAAAAACCCCAGTGCTAAAAACTAGACTCTGGAGACCAGCTGTATGCTCTAGTGGCCTGATCCTGCAAGGTGCTGTGAACCCTTGGTGAGCAATGAAGTTAACAAGCGCAGGCCCCAGATGGGTTCCATAGCTGATAGAGTGTCATTCAGAGGAAGCCGGAGGTTCATGAAAGGGCTGGACATCACAGGATCCAGAAGGACGTTTTAAACTGCTGTACTGAATACCTCTTTTAACATGAGTATTGGGGACATATTGGCTTGTCTACGGACTGCTTGTAAATGCAGTTCTTTAGTACCTTTCCCTGAATTTACTCCTTTTTTTTTTTATGTGAGTTGGAGGAGAAGGGGAGAAAATACTCATGTAAAAGTCTGATTTTTCAAGACCTAGACAGAGCCTGACAAGATGCATTAACTATAACCAGAAGGAGACAGCATGCCATAGCTAAAAAAAGAAACGGTAACTACACTTTCAGACTTGACAAGTCCTTGAAAGCTACTGATCCATGGAGCTAACTTGATTAAAAATAATAATAAAACAATCTGTTGAGATGAACAGCATAGAAGACATCAGTAAAAGCAATACAACAATGGAAAATCCTATCTAAGAAGCTAAATGAATGACCTATAAAGTAATTACGAGTAGACAACTGTACTGAAATGGTAATCACCAAGTCTTCCTAGACAACACACCGAAAATTCCTGGTCAAAGAAGCAGAGGGTAAATTTGTGTAGTCTATAGTTCAAAACAAAGGTGAACCCTACTACACTGTAACATACATTTCTGACACCAATTCATTATTATTATTTTAAGAGAACCCATGTGTAATGTTTCAGGTCTCTGGTACTGCCTAGCTGTCTATAATGTAAAATTACTTAGTGGCATGATCATTTATTTGTGGAGGGTTTCTGGTACATAACAAGATACAGACAAAGATAAATGAACTAATAAGTACATAATAAATTAAAATCCACTATCAAGTATTTAACCTTTGGTCATTTTTGTTGATTATAAGTCTATAAAGAAGGGCAAAATTTTGACAAATAACATGTAACTAAAACTGTAAAAATACAGATAGCTAGAACAGCTCTAAATAATTAGTGTTTGATTCATATGGAAAAAAAAAACAGTACCAGCTCTTTATCCACACTACCTCAAGAGGGAAATCCTTTATGCTGACATCTACAAAAGATTGGCAGTAATGAGGATCCATGTAAATCAAACTGTCATCTACAAGGACAAAACAGAAGACAAGTAATTCAAAAAACACCTTATTATTACACTGCTTACAATCCAATTTCTATGCAGAACAGCTGAAAAAAAAACCCAGCAAGTAACTGCTTGCCAGACTGATATTCATTGACTGAAGCATCGGTTTTTGCAGGACAGATTAACTTTTGCATAATCAAATATGCTTGTATAAGCAGAATTTTTATAAAGTGATGAGACTGTCATTTAATTTTTGGTGATAAAATTACTTTTACAAACACACAATTATATTCTAGAGTTTGCATATGAAAAATGCATTGTGCTACTTCATCCTGACAGGAAGAACATATTGCTTGTCATTTGAGCATCAACTAGCACTACTTAAACTGGTAAAAAGTAAATATGTAAATAAGAAATGCCAGACAGTAGCAGCAAAGGCTTCTAAAGTTTGGTGAAACGGATAAATTATGCCTTGTTTATGCAACAAAGGAAATTAAATGTACATTTTACAGAATCCAATTACTATGCAGGGCAAATGACAAATGACTGGACTTTGGCAGATCTGATGAATTAATAAGGTACTCATTTTGCTATTTTAATCATTCTGCTTCCCACTGATCCTATATTAACTTTCTAGCTTTTAAAAGGAAAACACTAAAGAGACATCTCTTATTAAAACACTAACCTTGAAATCCTGCAAAGTAATATGACTGCTTAGGTTTCCCACCAATAACACCGACACAGTATTCAAGACTCAAAATTCCCTGCCAACAAAATATTAAATAATTCAGATTTAAAGGCTAACAGAAGAAGGTGATGAATTAAAGTAACTTGGTGTAACTTTATTCATTTAATTTTTCCCTGACCATCACATTTAGAGTGAGGTCAGTGTGAATGACCTATGGAAGTGCCCAGGGTTGCCAACTTTTGCAGCTCTATTGCAAGTCTCATGATTTGGTGTTCTTCTGAAAGCCCCAGTTCCTGGAGTCATGCAATTATACTAGAACCACAATACTCAATTTTAAAATAGGTATCTAGCTCTTGTGGCTGTGGAGAAAAATCTAGGAAATGTAAACCTTTAGCACTCAAAGATCAAAAGACAAATAAGGCTATTTTAAAAAAAAAAACAACAGTCATGATTTTTCAGTAAATATCATGATTTTCTGGGTCATTTTTTGAATGCTTGTGGTTGGCATAACTGACCACGTGCTGGCAGACATTCAAGAAGGGATGACCTCAGTTGTTCTGAGGTGTTCACAGTTTAAAGATGGGCAGGACAGTTTAGAAAAGAATAAATGTAACATAACAAAAGTTGGAGTCACTGTAGGTTGCCTGGCATGAAGTTTTACATATTTGATAGTTTTATGTTCAGTGGCCCTTCACTGAGCCCCTCCATCCTGTTCACAGGTAAAAGCCCCACACCACAGGAAGTCTGCAGCTGCTTCCAAGAGCAGTTACCCTAAAAGACAAGAGGAGGTAAGTAAGGTGCACTAGTGCTGCCTCTTGATTTCCAAACCCTCTCTGATCTAATCTGTGGCTATTTCGAAGAGAAACACCCCATGTTTACCTGAAAAGGGTAAACAGCAGCAGGTTGGGCAGAAGTACATGTGTCATTCCTCATGCAGGAACTTATAGCGCAATAGAGGGAGAAACATTTCTCCCCAGAATAGCAGACACCGGGGAATAGAAGAGAGTCTGGTAAGGACTCTGATGTCAACATGGGCCAATATGAGGAATTAGTCTCTCCTCCACCCCCAAAAAACTACCATTTGAGCTAAAATGGCAGTGGCACTTATGCCCCAATTTCTAGGGCTATAGCCACTGAAGGTAAGACCATTACAAATCATCAATTACATTGTGAAGATTCTCTTTCTCAACAAGAAGTTTGGCCGTAAAAGACAATATTAACAAACAACAAAATTTCTACTTTTGCAGATCTATCACATTACTAACCCAAGATATTAACAACATGGAAACCAACTTCTGAGTGGTTTAAATAGGTAAGGAGGAAATACCACTTATTTCAAATATTAAAAAGGGGTAATAAACATTGCAACACATGCTTATGCATATAAGATAAAGAGGAGAAAACAGTTAAAGTCCGTGTCCTCTCAACCTATTCCAGTGCAGCAACATTGAAACAGGAGCTACTTAGGTAAAGCAAAGGTCTGATTTCCCTATGGTAATCAGGTACTTTTCTTGTATAAAGGTATTATAAATCAATCAACAACTATCATCAACAAATTGCCAAATCATTTGTAAACACTTATTTACTTAATTCAGTTCTGAAGTTTGTGTTTTCATTTACCTAAATCTACACCAAAGATACTAAGTCACTTTCAATGAATTACAAAGACAGGATGATTGCATGCATGCAATTGAAGCCCCTATTATCCTAGCCCCAGTGAGATATCTGCAAATGACAGCACGTTTTCCAGTAAAACAATGGTCAACACCAACACAGAAGCCCACATTAAAGAAGAGTGACCACACAAGATCAGAAACCCTTATGAAAATAGAGACAAAAGTGGTGCTTGTGTTAGCCTACAAATAAAAGCATTAGGATTCCACATTCAGAGATTTCAAAGCTCTTTTGCAGAAGTATTGTAATGGGAATAGGGTTTTTGGATCAGGTCTACAACCATGGATATGTTTTACTGTGCCAGATCTAACTAGCAAAGAGCAAACCAACTGTCTAGACACACAAGGAAAGGAATCAAGACAGAACAGCTACTTCATACTTTAAATAAAAGTCTTCACAGTTCTGTCCTCCTTGGCTATAAAAGTTTTTCATAGTTCTCTCTGAAACTTTGTAATAAAATGGAATAGATAGTCAAGAGAAAGGAAAAATAGGTACGGTAACAAAAGTGCCCATCTCAGATTTTCTTAATGCTACTGAGCAGCTCCTTAAACTGTCCAATCATACAAATTTAGATGGGACTCAAAAGGATGATTCTGTGTGATTAACAATAGAATAGTAAAGACAAAGGAACAGAGTTAAGCAAGTTCTTCCCTTCAACCAGCAGAACTACCAACATGTGCTCAACGGAAATGAGAATTATGGTCCAGTTTCTTAGAGACCATTTTTAAGTGTTCAGTTAAAAAAGCTGAGTTTTTGTTGATGAGAAGTTAGACAAAAAAACCCTACACTAAACTGTTTCCTGGCTCTGTCCTGCAATTTGATACACTGGTGGGTTTTTCATTCTTAATCGGCACTCTCTTCTTCCACATACAGAGTCATCCGAACCTCCAGCTAATGAAATAATGGCCACAAAAACTGCCAATTGGGTCACATGATTATAACCCTTCAATCTGAAAAAAAAGGTAGAAGGAATAAGCTGTGAAAGTTCAGCTGGTAGTCTTCAATATTCGCTATTTAAGGATAAAAAAACCAAACAAGAAAATAAGCAGCTTGGTTTATATTTTTTAAGTGTTGGCTAATATGAAAGTTCATTTAAGACGCCACAAATATAAATACCATAAATATACTAAATTATTATTTTTAATTCGAGTCACTGCATTAGTGTCTTTTCAGGAAACTACTTTAGGAATGGAATATTTTTCACTGTTTTACCATAGGTCAGGGGTCGGCAACCTGCGGCTCTTTAAACTGACCCTGCAATAGCGCTCTGTAACGCAAGGTTTTTTTGTCCGGCGCAGCAGGGCTCAGGCAGGCTGCCTGCATGCCGTGGCCCCACGCTGATCCCGGAAGCGGCTGACTGATGGCACGTCCCTGTGCACCCCTAGGAGGGGAGAGGGAGGAGGAGAGGCAACTCCGCGCGCTGCTCACGCCCCCAGCACCATCCTCACAGCTGCAGGGGCGGTGCTTGTGGGAGCGGGCAGCACACAAAGACACGCTGCCCCCCTTCCCCCAAGGGGCGCAGAGACTTGCCAGCAGCCAGACGCATCCGGGAACAGCGTGGGGCCAGGGCAGGCAAGCAGCCTGTCTGAGCCCTGCTGCGCCGCTGGCCGGGGGTCACCTGTAGTAAGCGCCTCCCAGCCAGAGCCTGCACCCCGCATCCCCTCCTGCACCCTAACCCCCTGCTCCAGGTCAGAACCCCATCTTGCACCCAAACTCCCTCCCAGACCCTGTACCCCTTCCTGCACCCCAACTCCCTGCCCCAGCCCAGAGCCCCCTCCTGCAAACTCCCTCCCAGAGCCCTCATCCTCTTCTGCACCCCAACACTTTGCGTGTGATGCAGCTCTCGAAATATTTTGGTCAAAGACAAAAATAAAAAATGGCTTTTCTTCTTTGAAAGGTTGACAACCCCTGCCATAGGACATCATGTGTTCTGCAATTATGTGAGATCTTGTAATATTGACATTTAAAATCTGTAAAGTCAAACTTTACAACTTACAACTGTAAAATCATCACCACGCATTTAATGGCTAGAAGATTACCACCATGAAAAATCTTTTCATATCTAGTACTACTGTTTGAAACAGACAATGAACTCTTATTTCATACCTTTACAAACTCCAAGTAGTCCATGTTGGTTCTCTCTCCACCAAGTCTTACAGGAACTAATATAATTACAGCTTTCATATCTGCTTTTTCAGAGCCCATAGAAGAGCACTGTCTATCAACAACATCCGAACTGTAAACTGAAAATAAGAATGAATATACTTGAGCATCAAGGTACACATGTAATTTTTTTGAAGTAAAAATATCCTGAATACCTTTTACAAAATGTTATGTACCTACAAAATTACATTTAAGCACGATAAATCAAAACTGTACATTTCTGAAAAAATTACACTCTCCACATTAAATTATCTTCCGGAAAAAACCTGTATTAATAGAAACTAATCACGTTTTCCTCACCTCGAGTGGCATTTTGTAGAAAGATACGTTACACTGTTGAGTTCAACAGTTTGGATACGTGGCATGTAGGATGTAGGAATTGAGAAGAGCAGAGAAACATTTCTTCTATTTGTTTTAAAATTAATGGATAGTTTAAAATTTGGTCCTAGAACTAACTTTCGTATTTAAAAAAAAACAAAAAAGCCCCCAAAGCTTGTGACCAATAGAAACATTTACACATTTAAAAAAAAGAAAAGCTTTTTTAAAACATTAATGTTCAAACAATATAGTATTAGATCCTGAGTTAAACAAAAATAAAATACCATTGTTTTAGTTCCTCCGCTCAGAGAAGTGCATAAAGACAAAAAACTACTTCCAATATTTAAATTAAGACTACATTAGATTTTTAAAATTCTCTCACTTTTAATACTCCAAGGCAGGAGTCGGCAACCTTCGGCACGCGGCCCATCAGGGTAATCTGCTGCCGGGCCACGAAACATTTTGTTTATGTTGACCGTCCGCAGGCACGGCCCCCCACAGCTACCAGTGGCTGCGGTTCGCCGTTCCTGGACATTGGGAGCTGCGGGAAGCGGCAAGGGCCACAGGGACGTGCTGGCCGCCGCTTCCTGCAGCTCCCATTGTCCGGGAAGGGCGAACCGCGGCCACTGGGAGCTGTGGGGGGCCGTGACTGTGGACAGTCAACGTAAGTAAAATGTCTCGTGGTCCACCAGCGGATTACCCTGATGGGCCGCGTGCCAAAGGTTGCCGACCCCTGCCCATAGGTTTTAATTGTAACATGGTAAAGAAATTTGTTTACAATATACAATTAAATTGAGTGTGTCCCTTTAAAACTAGCTTGATCATAGAAAGGAATGATATTCCTGTATTATCTCCCAAGATCAGGTACAGTACACCTCTACCCCGATATAACGCTGTCCTCGGGAGCCAAAAAATCTTACCGCGTTATAGGTGAAACCGTGTTATATCGAACTTGCTTTCATCTGCCAGAGCGTGCAGCCCCCCCCCCGGAGCGCTGCTTTACCGCGTTATAGGTGAAACCGTGTTATATCGGGTCGCGTTATATCGGGGTAGAGGTGTATATCATAAAAAGTAATAATTTTGGCAACTGAACACAGCTATAGAAGTAATATATTATGCTTTCATTTGAAAGCCTGGATTGTCATAGTCATTAGTGTAAAGTTTTATTACATCTTTAGTTTGTCTTGTCACCCTCCATTTTTGCACATCCACCAGAACCCTAATCTACCCTGCCTGTAATAACAACCAAGTATTTAAAAGCATTTGTGTTCGTGAGATGTCTGATACATCGTGTTAGAATAGAAAATAGGTAACCATAGTGTTTGGTTTATTGGACTGCTCACATCTTTGAATGTAAACTGATTAGATTTATTACTACTAGAAACTGGTGCATAAACTTTCCCATGGACACATTCCTGCAAGAAATGGGACCTTCTCATTGCAAAGAGAATGCAGCTTAATATTTAAGAAAATGCATAATAAATTAAATTACTGACCGTTTGTTTTTGTTTTTAAGAAAAATCTCTATCACTTTCTGCACTTCACCAAAAGGAAAAAGGAAGACAGAGAAGGGAAATGTAAACCAATTTATTTATTTTAAAGGGTAGGCCTAGCAGAATAACCAACAGACTGCCTAGAATCAAATAAAAAGTCATCGGAGTGAAATTATACATGCCAGGCAGATTATATGGAAAAAAGCATCCACAAGCTATTTTAAGTGCCATTATCCTAATCAGATGTCAAACAAGCAATTTACCGACCTTTCCATTTATTATGTTTGATTCATCAAGACAAAAGCCAAAGATGTAGTGCAGGAATCAGTATCCGCTCTGAGCTCATGATTCCAATTTTTAGGATTTCTAAACATATTTATAGCATTTAGTTTTTTCTTTTGAAATCGTAATATTGTTGAGCACTAATTGAAAAGCATAAGTGAAGCGCTTATAAAGTTGACTAAAACCTACAATAGCCACATCACTTACCTGTACAGTCCTGAGCAACATAGATAGTTATCCCTTGTAACTCAGGGTCTCTTGCTTCTTCAACAGCTTTTCTAAGTGCAAATAAAAGATTTGATAGAGTATTTCATTTCAAGAAATTAACAGTAAACTGAATTTAGATTCTTGATTTTTAGAGATAATATTAACTTGAATTTAAAAGAAACAGATTTCAAAATATTCCAGTTTCTGATAGATCACCTTTTAAACAAGGATCCCTTACATAAAAATAAGTTGAAGTTTATTTATTTTATTGTTTTTCTTTTTCAGCCACCCCTGTAGAATATTTATAAAAGCCTTTCCAGCAAAGCAGAAACTGAGAGGCTATTAAGAAGAAACAGTAAAAGTGACAATACACAGAATGCGATTAAATGCACAAAATTAACTAAACACAACCACCACCACCCCACATACGTTTGGTTATAGTAATCTTTTGTCTTATTTGTAACTATAGAAAATACTAAATTTGCCAACAGAAATGGGATTTTCAAGTTGATAGGGTTCCTTTAACTAACCTTCAAAGTAGTATCGGCTCAGTATGAACTGTTTTTCAGCTCACACAACTAACCTAAGAAGACAAGCTAAAGATATATAGAATTAGCTTCAGACATCTATTAGAACAAAAACTAACATTTGAACAGTTCCAAGGTTTCACTGAAACTTTAAAAAAGATAATTGAAATACTAAACTAGCCTCAGAAGACTAAGAGTAATGAACCTAAAGACTAAAAAGAAAATATATGTCGATAGTCTGAATCATGATCATCAGTAAAGGACAAAATTTGTAAAGAAATTAAACTGTTGAAAATAAAAGATTAGCCTTTGACTTCTGATACGTGATTGCATTAAATGGTCACTATCCCTTTATTTCACAATATATTCTGAAGAAACATTTAATACAGACATTCTCAAGTTATGGGAGAGCTATACATTCTCAGTACGGGAGAAGGGGAGTTCTAGGAAAGGAAAGCTTTGCAATGTTTGAATAATGGTAGGAATTATGTTGAAGGGAATGCATGATTTGATCATGTGGATCCTGAAGCCAAATATACTTTTGCAAATTAGAAAATGGATTAGTAGAAAATATTTGTTTTGAAATTTCACAAAAAAGTCAATTTCAGATATCGACCACATGAAGAAAATATTACAAATACAGGCAAATACATAAATAACCTTCACCTGTCATAGCACAAACACTGTAGTATTTCAATGTAGGCTCATTCAAGGAGAGTATACTTGTATATGAAATTATTCCAGCATCTACATAAATGTAGAAAAATTACATCTGAACTTTGACCTCTCATGCTTAGGTGATTTATTAATGATTCCGTTTATGGCTAAACTGGGACCCACCTAGAGAACATAAGACTATAAAAAACAAAATCAGTAGTATCCAAAGAAAAGGCACATAAAGGCACAGAGTACAGAGAAATTGGACCCTTTTTTTTTTTTTTTTTACTCATACTGAATGTCAAAGATCCTTTACTTTTACTGTAATATAATTATAATATTAATAGTCCCATACATTTACAGTTTCACAAGAATTTGATGTGTGCAAAGAAATGCTGAAAACATCAATTTTAGCTCTGACATTTCATTACACTATCAGTACATTACAGCCCCCAGGTTACAATATAAAAAAAAAATCTATAATATTATGCATGTTCCAAGGTTGAAAGAGTGGTTAGTTTTTAGAACATTTCATTAAAGGCAGCCCTATTTAAAGATCAGGTATGGAGAGACCTTGGGTCTCTTGTTGCTCAGACTGGAGGAAAATAGGAATGTTTCAGAAATAAATGACAAGATTGGACAGAGGTTCATACTTCAGTTCCTGAATCTGCTATTTCCCTTCCTATCTCTAAAAAAAAAAAAAACCCCTCTTCTAAATTGCTAAATCAATAATTAATGGTTAGGTGTCCAATTAACCTGAAGAAATCTCAAGACACTTCTAAATGTTTCTTCCGTAACACTTAAGGCATTGTAATAATGAAGGATAATTTAAAGATATTTTTACCTTAAAATGTGTGCTACTACAGCAGGCCCATACCAGTCTCCAGCTGTTTTCCCAGACTTCTTTCCGTATTCTATTAGCTGATGCAAGCCAAAAGATGCCGGTGGAGAATCTCCAAACCAAGAGATTATTTTTCTATGATAAACTTCATCTCTCATTTCACTGTCATCACAGTCTCTCTTTAGTGCTTCCTTATGATCGTTTGACAGGACCTTGGGTTCTCTCTCCCCCGTAAGTGATGCTTCAAATGATGCAGTCAGCTTTTTTACTGTGTGGCTTGTCCATGATTCAGAGTCTGAATTTTCAATGTTCAGTGCACCCGGCCAGGTCCAGGCTGCAACAGAGTATTTTTTAAAGATATGTTTTACACTTCTTAACAGTAAGTTTTTTGTATAATTACCAAAAAAAGTGCCAATTTTTAATAAGACCAATAATCTATGTTTTACAGACATGCAAATGCTGCTGATAAGAATATAGGCAAAAAAAAGTCAACTCAGTATAATATGGTTGTGCTATTTTTATTTGTGTGGGAGAAAGGAGGAAGAAAGGAAGACACTAGGCACATTACATTTCTTTCTTAGCCATTAATGCTAGCAGGATTTTCCAGGAGAGGATATAGTGGACTCTGCAGACTTAGCCAGTAAGGGTATAATTACAAGATACAGATTAGGGGAATTTACATATCAACACAATAAATTAACTATTTAATACATGTAAAAAGGTTCAACTGATAGTTATCCAAGGCAAAGCCTTTAATGACTGATGCTTTTTCTTTCTTGTTTGTTGATTCCTAAGACAAGTTTATGGAGAAGAATTCTCATAATTTTGTTTGTCAAACAAAGTAAATTGTAACGTCTGTCTATACTAGAGAACAGAACTGTTTCAAGGTTAGCTATTATAGCAAAGCATCTCCTGTCCATGTTTCTGGTACTGCTTTTTCTGTAACAGTTCGCCTTACATGCAGTGTCTACATTACTAGCCTAGTTGATGTAAACTGGTTCAGCATGTCAATACAACACTAATGATTCACTAATGCTTCTCTTACTAGTGTATTGTGGGTCCCTCCCATAGGTCCCAACAAGTCCCTGCAGCAGGGGTTTGTGAAGAAACCTTCAAACGTCTATGAGTCTGAGTGACAGATGATATCCACATACTGTATGACTCTGCTGAACTTTTCAAGGAATTAATCCCCGCTGCAGATCTATGTGCCTTTCACTTAAAAACAATTGTGTTCTAGCCTTCAGAGTTATGAAAACAAACCTGAAAATGTATAAGTGTGAACATCAATACAGTGCTGTATCCCTAAATTTGCAGAAAGCCTGACACAGCTCTAAAAAGGTGTGAGCCCAATGAAATGAATGGAGTAGAATTCTCATACCTAAAGAGGACTATTTAAAATGTCACTTAAATTATTTCACTGATGATCATTTTAATATAAACCTGCACTTAGTGTTCTCAGCTCATAATCTCAAACTGCTTGCTATGTCTGCCCAGCTGCTAAAAGCCTAAACTGACATTGGCCAGATGCTATAACCTCCTCCAGCTTCTCCCAATAACTACTATGATGCAGGTATGCATCTTCAATACAAAATTCTACTGCACATCAAAACTTAAGTTATGGGGATGATGTACACTGAATTTAGTATCTAAATAAAAAAAACAGTACCAATTGTATTATTCATATTAATAAAAATCTCATCTTCAGTTTAATCTGAAATTGCTGCACAGAACTTCCATCAGAGTGCCACAGAATCCAGCAGTCCTGAGGCAGAATTTAGCTTCAGCTTTCCACAAAGTACAAAGGCTATTGATTAATAGAAATACCCTGTGCAAGTGATACAAATGGAAATGATAATGCTGACATCAGAATATTGCCACCTGACTTTAAGATTTGTAAGTAGTGTCTTTTCACTATTTTATGGTGGTAGGTGTAAAGTGAACATTTCACGGATCATTTGTAAATTGTACATAAAATACAGTAAGATTGCACAATTATTTTTTAAACTCAAGTTTTATTTAGCTTTAAAATGCATCACATCTTCAAGAACTAAAGTTACCAGAATGTGTACTGTGTTTGAATATAATGTCCTCTATTGCACTTTGTCCAATGCAAATACCAAATAGATTGTGGGCAGAGGAAAATTGAGGAAGCCATTGAAGGGACTATAAATGGTGGTACAGGTGTGTATCAGGTCTGGGTTGTCACTGTTAGCTCAGAAAGCAGGTCTGTGGATGTACAGCTCTTTGGGAGGTGACAAATAGGAGGGGCATTCTGGAGCTGGGAAGCATCATGAGGAGAATCACTGTTAAAAGGGCAGTTGCTGGAATAAGGCTGGTAGTAGCATTGCTACTGGTAGAGGCAATCAACTTGGCTGATCCTCCTCCTTGCTTGTAGATGCTTTTACAGTCCTCCAGTCTCTTCTTTACAATAAAGAGCCAAGAGGCCTGTAAAAACTACTGGAAATGAGAAGACACAAGACCCTGTGAGCTGCCAGCTCTGTGGCACTAACAAGTGTACCATGGATCACAGTTTGACAACATCTGCTTTAATATGTATAAGAGAAACAGATTTCAGTCATAGGAAGTGACTTACTAAACTCTGGCCTCATATTAAGCCTTTCAGAGGAAGATTCCGAAATCAAGGAAGATGCAAATGTAAATGTAACAGAACAATGAAATGGACGTAGCTGTTCCTGAACCTTGACATCTCAAGCTGCCATGTTTGTGTACATACCACAAAATTAAATGTAAAACCTTCCAAAACATAAAAATTAAAAATAGAAACGTATTGACAACATCATTCTGCGGTATTTGGAGCATTTCATGTAGCTGTGGCATTGCACAATTTTAGCTATTAGTGGCATTTAAGTGGAGGATTTTTTGTTAAAAGAAAATACTATTAAAAAATCTCTAGAAAAGGAGCCACAACCAATGAAAGATTTCATATGAAGATGTAAATACAACACATTTCAGTTACCCCAATTTCACCAAAAGCTTTTCTAAAGAAGATTTACTATCCTTTGAGGGCAGGGTGATGACAGAAGACTTTCATGTAGACCAGACATGTCTCCTTTCCCTATACAGATGGGCTACCACAGAAATGTGGGAGCTTGGTAGCTCCAAAGTAGTGCAGCACATGACTCACAAGTGAGGATACATGGATAGTACAAGAATTATTTTTAAGTGCAGTTTTTAAGAAATACACCTTAGATTACGACTAGTCAAGATCCTTTTGTTTTGGTAATGTTAAACTGGGCCGCAACTACAGCCTCACCTGCATATTCATGTTTAGTGTTCTATCCAGATTGTACAGGGTTTTAAAAAAGTTTAAATAAAAGATTTAGGTGCAACAAAGGTTGTATTTATGGGGAAACTGGGGTAGGATCAGGGGATAAGCCATCTCCAAACACAATAATTTCATATGTTTGGATGTTGGGGCAAATGGAACAAAATAATATTTTATGAGCAGATGAAGTGCTTACAACAAAAAGAATGCTAGATACGTCAACTCCACAGATCAATTTTGCTACTAGACTACTAAAGAATAGTCAAAATTGCATTTTCTGGTGTGCTGGTTTGAGGGCTTTATAAGAACCATGCAAGATTTTGGTTCTTGACTTACATAATATTTGCAAAATATTACTGAGCTGGACCTTCAGAATGCTGTGTTTTGTATGTTAGTTATCAATACAGCACTCATAGACCACCAAATGGCTGAGTAAACAAAACAACACACTCCCTTGCAACAAACCAGCGTTTGGGACTGACCGGGTTGAAAGGTCTTTGACAATGGGGGCAGCCAACCCAGCACAGGAATTGATCAACAGGGAACGGATACATGTATTATAGAAGGAAAGGAAGGAAAGAGGATGAAATACTGAGAAGGTGGCTGGCTTGCAGACCTAGTGGTACTGAAACAAACTACCATGCAGGAAACAGCTGTGTATTTCCAGTCTATCGCCTCTTGGGTTTGAAAAGACTGGGGAGAGCACGAGAGGTAATATGCTCAACCCCAGAAAGCAATCCATTTTTCCCAAAGGAGACTGCGGCTGTAAGACAGTATATCTTGAAAGAACAAGGTTAAGATAAGAAAACACAAAGGGAAGCAGAAAAATAAAGGTTTCCAAGCCCCACCAGGGGGAAAAAAAACAGTGAATCGTGCAGAAAATAGATTAGAAACTTCTGTTAACCCTCTCTCATACAAGAATTAAAGAAAATTGAAAGATGACAAATTTAAATCTGATGAAGGAAATACTTTCTGCACACAGCCCACAACTAGGCAGTGGAACTCATTACCACAAGATATCACTGAGGTCAAGAACCTCTAAAAAGGATTGAACATTTACATGGATAACAAGAAGATGCAGTTACTGAAGTAAAGGTGCGTGTTTTGTTTTATTTTTTAGTTAGAAGTTTTGAAATGGACATAAACTCTTATACTTCAGCCGTAAGCTAACCTCTGAATAATAAGGGTTAGGAAGAAGTTTTGTCCACAACGAAAATTAACTTCTACAGGGTTTCCTGCAGCTTCCTTTGAAGCAGCTAATATTCACAATCATCAGAGACTGGTTTCTGGACTAGACAGACCATTAGTCTAATTCAGTAAAGCAATTCCTATATTCTTAAAAAGCAGTCCAGAATCAAAAGCAAGCAAGTACTTTAGCTAGCTAAGTTTAGTGGATGCATATGCGGCGGCTGACACGTTCCTCATCATTAACAAAGGGCCACCTGCATCCTGATGCTTGGTTCTACCTCCTGACAAAACCAAAAATGATCTACTCTTCATGCTTACCTCTACCAAGAAAATGAAGCACAAGCCCTTGAGCCAGAAGCATCTGGCCAGTTCTCAGTGTACAACTCCAGCCGCAGTCTGTTGTGAAAGCAGATTCTTTTATCTGAGGAAAATCCTCTCTGTAAGTCAACCATATTCTAGAAATAAAATCTTTACGAAACTCTTCTACGTTTCCAGAAATGACTTTGTCGACTATATCCAAGCAGGATCCATCTGGAGAGAGTTCACTGGGTTCTGCAAGACAAACATAACACAACTTACAGCTTTGAAATTAACTGACACAGGACTTTTGTTAATATAATTAAAATAAAATTATACTATTAAAAAATAGGAATTTCCTAGGACACTCCAGTATCTCCTCAGCAACAACTAGGGAAAGCTGAGGAGAAACATAAAAGGTATGGAGCAGCTGAAACAAAGAATGATTCAGGCAGCAGCTGTCAATCGAAACGGCCATTTTAAGGCTGCAGCTGCTTGGTCCTGCTAAATATAAGTGGCCAAACCAAGAAAGGCATGCTGGGAAAACGGTTCCCATAAGAGGGCAAATTTGCACAGGGAAGAGTTAACAGAGACTAGGAAATCATCAAGGAAGGTGTTACTTTGATGTTGGTATTACCATTTCATTCTCCTGAACAAGGCTGAGTTTATGCAGTACCTTTGATTAAGCCTCAGTACCCACTTCACAGATGAGTAAACTCAAGCATAGGTTATAAAATTTATGCACACAAAGGATGAAGTCTGATTTGACAATGGCTAGGTTCTCTGGCCTATGTGCGAACAGTAGGACGGGGCAGGTATTAAGACTGGTTTTGGAAACTTAACTGAGAATATTCTAACTTTTCCATATTTAAATTGTGAACTTTAATTCTCTATTAATAAAGATTTTGGTAGATGATTACAAAGACGTCACAGAGCAATGCCAAAATGGTATCAGAAATAATTAAATCCTTTACACTTACCATCAGACTTGAAATGGTAACATTTTCCCAGCAAGAAGACAGCAGAATTTCTGCTAAAGTAAGTTTTTGTTTTCAATACCCAACCTAAAAGAGATACAAAGCAAACAAAAGTTTGTGGCTGAAATATTTCAAAACACTTCCAAAAGCATTTGATGATACAAAAAGTCACACAAGTTAGTAAAAACATGGAAACACCACATTGAATTGGAATTATTTTATAGATTGAATAATACAAACAGATTCTACTGTTTTAAGACACATTGAATGGATTTATAGTCAACAAGCTTAAAATAACTTAGCCCTTGTAAATACAATATCACCCACATAAGATGTTATGCAACCTGAAAATTGCATAGGTAAGCACTGAAGTCATGAAATACAAAAGTTAAGTTTGAACTTGTTAACTCTGCCTTTTTGCATGAACTCATTACTATACAGAGTATTTTAAAAAAAATCACAAAATTAAACAAGTTAAGCTTCCAACAGGATTACTAAAACAGCCACACTGCATATCCTGCAAGTATTACTATCACAAGATTAAGATGCATATTTACGAAAAACAGGAATAAAAAAAATATATATGCGCAAAATGGGTGAGTTAATGTTGCTGTCAGAACTTCAACACTTACATATTTCATTGAGAAACACAATAGCGTAACGTATAGCCACAAAGGGTAGATTAAGGTTGCATGTTTAATCTTAACTGTTGCACGTCCTGATTTGAATATTTAATATTAGCAAACATTGCACCAACTTTTTTTCTCCCCCGTTTAGGCCCAAATCCTGCAGTCTTCACTCAAAAATAACTCCCGCTGACGTAAGATGTGAATTTTCACCTCAGGCCTTGAGTGGAAATGGGAAGATTAAGATAAAGGCTGATTTGGGGTTGGGAGGATGAGGGTTAAAAAAGCTAACTAATTCCTCGTGACCAAGTTTTGAGATTTGCCTACTTCTGAACTGTTTTGAGAGATAAGAGACAAAGGGTGAAATCCATACCCCATTGACTTTGATAGAGACAGGATTTGACCCAGAGTCTTAACTTTATCAAAATACACTACCAATGAGAACTACTCATACTGAGGTCTGGTCTACACCTAAAAATTAGATAGACCTATCTCTGTCACTCAGGACTATGAAAAATTTCATGCCCTGAGTCTCATGTTTATGTAGACCTAACCCTACAGTGTAGATACATTCTTCCGTCAACCTAGCTACCATCTCTTGGACAGATGGATTAATTACACTCAGGCTACGTCTTCACTACGGGGGGGGGGGGGGGCGATTTAAGATACACAAATTCAGCTACGCGAATAGCGTAGCTGAATTCGACGTATCTGAGCCGACTTACCCTGCTGTGAGGACGGCGGCAAATCGACCTCCGCGGCTCCCCCGTCGACGGCGCTTACTCCTACCTGCGCTGGTGGAGTACAAGCATTGATTCGGGGATCGATTGTCGCGTCCCGACGAGATGTGATGATTCGATCCCCGAGAGATCGATTTCTACCCGCCGATTCAGGCGGGTAGTGAAGACGTAGCCTAACAGAAAAGCCCCTTCTATCGATGTAAGAAGCATCTACACTACAAGCACTACAGCGGCATAGCTGCAGCTGTGCTGCAGTGGTCTTAGACATAGCCTGATTTTACAACTTCTCTGTTTAAGATCCTAAGCAAATCTGTCATGTCATCTGTGCTTAATGCCCATCTGTTTTTCTGATCTAAGTCAGTCATTGAAAAAACAAGTCCTTAAAATATTTAAATTGAAAGAGAACATCTAAATGAGTTTGTTTTCCCAGATTGTTTAGTTTATTGCTGAAGTACAAATTGGTTTCAAAGTCCAAGTTACATTTTTGATTAATACACTTATACGAGTACACTTACTGTGCGAAATCTTATCCTCCTCCCCCCCCCCGCGAAGTCAATGGCAAACTATTGACTTCAATGGAGTCCGGATTTTATCCACTGTTTCACTTACTGTATTTCATGTTGTGCCATGCAGACATAAACTTGGATTTTAGCTTTTCCACTTCATCTGTCCCTGTGGCCTCCATATTCAAATTCTAAAGAAAAAGCCATCACTGTCTTGCAAGACATGAATTTGTTACTGCAAAAAACAAAAAATAAACATAACTATGGGCATAGAGTATACATTGTATAGTATCACCAGCATGCTTAGGTACTTAAACCTAATATGACCAGAAACAATAATAAACTTTCAGAATCCTCCACTTCCAGGGACTGAAAAACAATCACATGTTCTAGGAAAACGTAATAAAAGCATTTAATTCCAAATATACAATAAAACTACTGTACAAAGCTAAATAAAATGTCCTCCATCGGCTCTCTATTCCACAAACTGATCTAGACCACAGACCATACTAGACCACAGAGTGTATGTGACCACACTCTCAAGTTTCAATTTGTAGTGAGAGCAGAATGCTTGAATCCCTATATAAGAGAGTTTTAGTTTATTTTGCTCACATCTAGGATTCTGAGCACATAAAAATAATACCCTGCCCTTTTTTTTTTTTTTTTTTTTAAAAAAGGACACTGCAGTGTTGGTTTCAGATAAACAAGACCTTTCCAATGCAGAGTGTATGTGTGTATTGATGAGGAGATGTGGGAGTGTGGAGAGAGGTGGGATGGAAGACAAAGAGGAAGGTGTTGAGCTTGTGGAGGAAAAGGTAGAAAATAGTTACTGAAAACAGGTTTTATGTGTAACAGAACTGAGACTATTTTGTATAGAAACAATTTGTTATAGAAGATCGTAAAATTAAATTTATTTTGCAACCGTATTTATTCCATCAATATTTTCTAGAGATCTTTTATAGTGTACTTTACATCACTTCTAATCACATGTACAGGCTAATTGCAGTTTCCTTTCTACTTTTATCTTGTTTTGTACAAAAGAGAAAAAGGTTTATCATACATATATTTTATGTATTTGGTCTAGTTATGTTGCTAGAATGTGATCATTTTAGGAACAGAACTAGATCGAATACATAAAATGGTGGGAGCAGTGATTACCTTGCAAACTAATTCACTTAATGTTTTAAAAAGCTACTTACAAGTTGTCAAGAAAGGGAAACTGATTACTGGAATAATCAAACAATGAGAAATGCAGTGCATACTTACTAACATGTTAGAAGCTGCAGCACAAATTGATTCCGCTTTCAAATGCCCCATTTCTTTATAATGCATAAAAGCTGCATACTATCCTCACCTGATTTTTTTCTTCTCCTAAGAGGGCTGAGACAACTGAACAGAACTCCCTTGGTAGTCTGTCCATCAGTGCCACTTAACAGGAAAGGTTGCTATTGACCAATACAACTGCCCAAATTGCACATGCTTTGCCAATAAATAGAGGACTTCAGTTTCTATAGTTGTCAAGCTGGCGCCTTTCACCAGAAATACATTTACTTTAAAATACTTGGTACAGGAGCATTTTCTTGCCCATGCTAAGTAGACCAAAAGTTTTAACAAAAGGCTGAAAGAATTAACAGTCCCTGCTGCAAGACCATACTTTTCTAGCCTCGAAATTGGCATTATAGGTACATCATTATAGTCACTGCCCTCTTTGTAGCCAAGTAGAATAATTCACTCAGTGTTTTATCAAACAAGAGGGCTTACTATTATAACTAAATGGCTTGAGACATGGGCAACACCATCACAGAAATTAAATCCACTTCCCTCCCTTTAAAAGTTTGGAAATCTAAAGCCCAAACTCCCCTTCCCATGAGAGGCTCTCCATTGGGGGTCAGGATCTGAACAGAAATGAGTGGGATGAGGCTGTATTACCTTTCTCCCTCCACCCTGGGCAGCCAACACCAAGGAAAGTCCTGGCAGCATAACTCCGATGGAGTTATCTCAGTGATAAGGATGGAGAAGAGATGTCAAGGTCCCCAGAACCACTGAGAAGTTACAAAGCATTGTGTCTCCAGAGCTCTGTACAGTTGGGGGTGAAAATGCAGCCTATGGCACAAGAGTGTAAACATGGTCATGTTATTTTCTTCCTCCTCATCCATGGAATGATTTAGGTGGAAACTTGTCAAACATCCCCTTCTAAGTTTTTTTCTCCCCAACAGAAAGGGGCAATTCTGGTATTAGTTTTCATTTTGTTCAGTGGCATAAACCAAGAAATAAATTAACGACTATTTTACTAATGGAAACACAGCAAACAAAGCTTCATAAAGAGTAACAACTCAACAGTCTTTTCTTTAACAACCAGGTCCTTTAGGGGTTTTTTTTTTGGTGTGTGAGTGTGTGTGTGTGTGTGTGTGTTGGGGTTTTTTTTAGGAAAATTAAGAAGGAAAGAAACGAAGAGACTTTGTGTGGACAAGTAACAGGGATAACAGTCGTGATTATCTGAGGGAGCTGGAGATTAGCTTCTTCATGATTCTGTTATTGCTCCCATAAGATCAATCAAGGATGGTCATTTATGGCAACCAATGGCCTCTATAGTTATAAAAGCTCTCTCTGCCTAACCTCAGGAATGAAAGAAACTCTAGTATTCTGAAGAGAAACATAAATCTTGTTTTCCCCTAAAAGATGCTAGCCACCCTGGTACACTTTTCTTTTTACCCTCGTGTGACGAAGTGGGACTGTTCTTAATGTTTCCCCTGAATACTGTGTGGGTGCCTCAGTTTCCCCTATGCATCTCTTAAGTCTCTAGGGGGTGAGATTGTTGCAGAGCAAAGGACCAGTGCACATAAATGGCCGACACTCTATCTCATGGCAACTAATGGCCAGGGCCCTTCCCCCCTGCAAGGGGATAGCTAAAGGTGTTGGAGAACAAAGGAATCAGGTGACCTCCTGGTCCGGGAAAGGAACAAAGCCCAGAGGAGGAGGGGCTGGAGGGGGAAGTCAGTTTGGGGCTGGCTGGGGACGTGGAGTGAGTGCAGACGTGGGTGTCTGGCTCGCTGCCCCCCTGGATGGACTCGGCTGAGAGGTTCTGTTCTCCGTACCTACAAGCTTTGTTTAGACTGTGTCCCTGTCATCTAATAAACCTCTGTTTTACTGGCTGGCTAAGAGTCATGTCTGACTGCAAAGTTGGGGTGCAGGACCCTGTGGCTTCCCCAGGACCCCACCTGGGCAGACTCGCTGTGGGAAGCGCACGGAGGGGCAGAGGATGCTGAATTCTCCAAGGTCAGACCCAGGAAGGTGAAGCCGTGTGAGCTTTTTGCCCTGAAGACAGTCTGCTCACAGAGAGGAGACCACCAGAGTCCTGACTGGCTTCGTAGGGAGCAGTTCCAGAGCATCGCCCGGGGACTCCGGGACACCTCGTACATTTCTTTCCTAGAAATCTTCCTGTGTTTCGAATAATATTGAAAAGAATATCAAGTTCAAATAGCCAAATTTCTTTCACTTTGGGAGAAAACACACTGGGCTATTCAATTCTCATGTTGATAGGAATCAGGAGTAACTCTACTGAAATCAGTGGAGTTATAGCAATAAAAGATCAGTGTGAGAAGAGAATCAGGCCCAACAGATACTGCTTGCAGCAAGCCCCCTCTAAAACCTAAAGCTTCTGTTCTTTACTAAAGGTTTATTATCATTTTGAGAAGTTGTCTAATAAGAAACGTTATTAATATAATCCTACAGTACAGAGTGCCAGAAGATACCATACACACAAAATTATCTGAGTGGTATCAGGCTCCTAGTTACTGTGGAAAGTTTTTACTGACAACCTAATTTATTAACTAATTTAGCTACAGAAGAGCAAGCTCTAATCTACTCTGCTTTATGCATCACCAATGAGATCGCTAGAGAAACTTTGGATTCCAGGATTTTTATTATTGGTGATGTGAGAAGAAAAAAGAACCCAGTTTGTTTTTCAGAAAAGAGATTGCACTTGCAGTAATAACAGTGTGTAAAATTCATATGGAAGTCATTGATAGAGACTAAATATGGAATGCCAAGATATCATTTTTACAGTCACTTTTCTACCAAAAACCACATATTCAGACAGTCAATAAATTACACTCTGATAAATGTAAAGGGTATTTCAAAACAGTATCCTTGAAGGGCAGGTGAAGAGAACAAGATTTTATCTCAGACAAAGGTAGAACATTTTACCCATTCAGGATTTAATGCTGAGTAAAAGCTTTTGACAGGCAGACCTTTAGGAATGGTCTCAGATTATCCCTTGGTACTTAACTTGGCAGAAATTAGTGCTAGTTCTGCAAACTAGCCTTGTTAGTAACTTCATGGAGAGAAGAGAGATACTGATTCTTCTGGGATGTTTGCTCTAAAGGCTCTTGAATGTTAGTATCGGACTGTTGAAAGCAGGAAGGTTGTCACACTGCATTTTTTTATGCTCTTAAGCATAAAGAGCTATTCACAACTTTATTTTGTACTACACAACATAACTGGCTAGGTATTTAGAAGGCATCACAGATACACATGCACTTTATGAACAAAGTTTACAGGTTCTTGCTTTGAATGACAAAGCGTGGATAAGGGGAAAAAATGGATGAAGAGTACAATAATGAAATATCAAAGTACACGTACTGACTTAATTTTTAAAAAACCCTTGAAGGTATTGAAAACTTTGCTTGCTCACTCATCAACAGCAAGTGAGCAGCTCTCTCTGGTGAGGCCTAAGCCATCAACTATTACTGAATTTAAGCTCTTGTTTAAAGAGCACAAAGTTTGCAGCCCTTGTAGAATGGACGTACAGCATTAAGGCTATGTCTAAACTACAACCCTTACAGCAGCACAGCTGCGCTGCTGTAAGGTCTCCCGTGTAGCTGCTCTATGCCGGCGGTAGAGCACTCTCCTGCTGGCATAATTAAACCACCCCCAAGTACCGCCTCACCCAGGGCAGTCTCTTTGCCTCCCTCCCTTTGGGGAGAATTGTTCCCCTAGATGGAAAAGCATGTTAATTAAGATCTTAACCTGCTCCCCATGCCCCAAAACTAAATCAGCCAGGAAGACACATACCTCTCACTAAGCATCCCTCTCCCACACTCACTGCGGGAACCAATGCCACCCTCCCCACGGCACCAAGGCATGCACCATGGGGCGCCCAGCCAGCCACCCATGGCACCCAGGAGGGGCTCTTGCCCTGTCGTGAGGTCACCCTGGCGAGACCCTCGGGAGTTTCCGGGGGACACCCCACCTGAGAGGCGCTTCTCTCCATCCCCGCAAGGGGTCACAGAGGAGCTCGCCCCACAGCTGGGGGGAGGGGATTAGGAGCTCCCCCACCACAGACACGCCCCATTGGAAGGGGCTCCCCCAGGAACCACTCCCACCCCTGAGGGGCGCTGGCCGGCTCTGTGCCCCGAGGGGCGCGCGCTCCACCCTTGCCCGCTGCCCCGACCCCATGGGGGCCCGCAGGAGCCACGCTCGCCCCCTCCAGCCCGCGGGAACGACCCGGGCGCTCCCTCCGCCCCAGCTGACGGACGGGAACGGGGAGCCGCTCACCCCGCGCGGAGCCGCAGCCTCCCCGCTCGGCCCGCTCACTCCAGCACCGCGCGCGCTGGCTGACCCCTCGCGGCCGCCGTACAACTCAGGAGGAAAAGCAGGCGCCGTTAGCGCTCCAGAGTCCAGAGCCTCCGGGGCCTCCACTTCCGGCCGCTGGTCACGGGACGCCTTCAGCCGCGCTGGACACGCCAGAGACTACAAGTCCCAGCATGCACTGCTCGCGGCGGGGAGAAACAGCGCGCGCGCGCGGTATGCCGGGAGCCGTATTCCCTGGGGTAGTCGTGTATGTCCCCCCCCGGCCTCGTGGTCGGCCGCGGTTACAGCATTTTTGCTCCGCGCCGCCGGCGCCGCCCCTTGGCGGAGACCCAGCCTGGCAGCCAAAGCCCCACAGGCGAAGGCGAGGAGGCGCTGAGGGCGGGCGTGCCAGTGGAAATGCACGTGCCGCTGAAAATGGGGGCGGTACTTGCGCTGCCCCTGCAGCCCCGCCCTCCGATAAACAGACTGGCCGCTCCTGGAGGCGAAAGGCTAAATGTTAAATACACCAGAGCAGCGTCAGCACGTGTCAGGTGTCATCGCCAATAATGCAACGTCGGCCTGGCTGGAGCCAGCCTAGCAATAACTCCAGAAGCTTGATTTTCATCACTGGCCATCACTCCTCTGATTGGCTGCCTTCCCTGCCTACCTGTCTCCTGTGGAGGAGCAGCCAATCATAATACCACCTAGTTCTTGCATCTTCATTAGAAAGCCCTCAAAGTTCTTTACAAAGGAGGTGAGTATCATTTCCCCCCATTTTATACATGGGAAACCCAAGTACCCGAGGGTGAAATGACATGCCTAAGTTACCCAGCAGGCGCATGGCAAAGCCAAGACTTGACTGTCGGGTTCCTGAGTCCAAGTCTAGTGCCCTATCCACTAGGCACCACTGCCTTCCAATCAGAACTGCTGCAGGGGAAGATAGTACTGGTGCCCCCGCCCCGGGAGAAGAGAAGAGATGTGGGTGGGGAGAGGGAACAGCCCATAACATTTTCACAGCAAGGGAGGAGGAAGCAGAAACTGTCCAGCAGTTCAAGGTAGTTCTGCTTTTTTTTCCCCTCTGAAAAATGGGTCAGTCTGTTTTCCCTTTCCACCGGTGCAACATCAAGTCTGGGAGAGAATAGGCCCCTGCTGCAGCTGCCAGCCCAATCCTGGAAGCAGGGGTGAAAAGCCCTCACAATTGCAGGAGTAGAGGTGTGCTGAGGGGCAAGGTGCCGATGAATGGTGGGGCAGAATGAATTGCTGGGCTAGGCAGTGGAACACAGAATTAGTAAACATTTTGGGCTCTGGGGAGAAGCTGGAAGCTCTGCACCATCAGGTGGCATTTTAACACAAATCTTTGTCATTTGATCTCAACTGAGTCTTCTAGTAAGAGCTCCTGTAGCAGGGGCCAAAACTCACCATACTCTAAAGTTTGGGAGACATGGTGACACTGTATTTGTAACATACATGAGCAGGGGAGAGGGAGGGGGTGCAGAGGAAGTTCAAAAAATCGAAAGACAGGACAAATAACAATATAATATTTTTAAAATAATTTGCAATTTTTGGCCCAATCTCATGATTTTTGGGCATCTGACTCATGATTTTTGAATTTATGGGATTGGCAATTCTTCTAAAGATACTATATAAGTAATAGGTTCCTGCATTCTTGTGTTCCCATTCCACTAGTGGCAGGTTTGAGTGCATAAAGAATACATTATATGCCCTCTCTTTGCGCTACTCCCTTCTATTGGATGAAAGATAGGAAGTGGAAATCTTCAGTGACCTGAAACTCAAGGAAGAGTCATACAAAAAGTGGAAATGAGGTTGAATTACAATGGATGAATATATATATTAAAAAAACCCAAAAACGACAAGCCTTCAGGGACAAAATTAGAAAGGTCAAGGCAAAAATTGGAGACTAAACTAGCCAGGGACTTAAAGGGTAGCAAGAAAACATTTTACAAATACATTGGAAGCAAGAGGAAGACCAAGAACAAGGTAGACTGAATACTCAATGAGGAGGGAAAGACAATAACAGAAAATGCAGCAATGGCCAAAGTGTTAAATGCCTTTTTTGTTTCAGTTTTCACCATCAAAGTTAGCAGTGATTGGACAACTAACATAGTGAACATCCATATAAATAGGGTAGAATCTTAGGGTAAAATAGTGAAAGAACAAATTAAGAATTACTTAGATGAGTTAGATGTCCTAAGCTCAGCAGGGCCTCATGAAATACATCCTAGAATACTTAAGGAACTGTCTGAAGAGATCTTTGAGCCATAAGCGATTATCTATGAGAACTCGTGGAGGACGGGAGAGATCTGGGAAAGGACAAATATAGTACCTATCTACAAAAAGAGGAATAAGGACAACCCAGGAAATTATAGACTAGTCATCTTAACTTCAGTATCCAGAAAGATAATGGAGCAAATAATCAACAATCAAGTTGTAAGCACCTAGAAGAAAATAAGATAAGTCAGTATGGATTTGTCAAGAACAAATCATGTCAAACAAATCTAATATCCTTCTTTGACAGGTAACAAGCCTTGTAGGTGGGGAGAAGCAGAAGATGTGATATATCTCGACTTCAATAAGGCTTTTGATGCAGTCTCATGTGATCCTCTCATAAACAAACTAGAGAAATACAGCCTAGACAAAACTACTATAAGGTGAGTGTACAACAGGTTGGAAAAGAATACTCAGAGAGCAGGGATCTATCCTGGATCTGATTCTATACAATATCTTAATTTGGATAATGACATAGAAAGTACACTTAAAGTCTGTGAACAATACCAAGTTTGTGAACAATACTGCAAGCCCTGTGGATTGGAAAAAACACCATGCAGGATTAGAATGCACAATGATCTTCACAAACTGGAGAAATGGTCTGAAATAAATAGGATGAAATTCAATAAGGACATTGCAAAGTACTACACTTAGGAAGGAATAATCAATTGCACTAATACAAAATGGGAAATGACTGCCTAGGAAGGAGTACTGCAGATAAGGATCTGGGGGCTATAATGTATCACAAACTAAATATGAGTCAACAATATAATACTGTTGCCAAAAATGACCATTGCTCTGGGATGTATTAGCAAGCGTATTGTAAGCAAGACATGAGAAGTAATTCTTTCACCCTACTCTGCACTGATAAGGCCTTAGCTAAAGTATTGTGTTCAGTTCTGGGCACTACACTTTGGGAAAGATGTGAACAAATTGGAGAAAGTCCAGAGGAGAGCAACAAAAATGATTAAAGGGGTAGAAAACATGACCTATGAGGAAAGATTGGAAAAAGTGGGTTTGTTTAGTCTGGAGAAAAGACTGAGAGGGCACATGATTAACAGTATTCAAGTTCATAAAAGTTTTTTATAAAAAGGAGGGTAATAAATTGTTCTCCTTAACCACTGAGGAGAAGACAAGTAGTAGTTGGTTTAAATTGAAGCAAGGGAGATTTTGGTTAGAGGGTTCATCAACCTGCGGCTCTTTGGCTGCCCTCTTGCGCTTTTTAATCTGACCCTGCAATACCTTACGTTATAGAGCCCAAGGAATGCGCAGAGACGTGCCAGCAGCCAGCTGCTTCCGGGAGCGACGTGGGTCCAGCGCAGGCAAGCAGCCTGTCTGAGCCCTGCTGCGCCACTAGCTGGGAGCCACCTGTGGTAAGCGCCTCCCTTCCAGAGCCTGCACCGTGCACCCCCTCCTGTATCCTAACCCCCTCCCCCAGGTCAGAACCCCCTCCTGCACCAAACTCCCTCCCAGAGCCCACACCCCTCACCCTCTCCTGCACCCCTACACTCTGCAACATCCTGGAGCTCCCTCCTGCCCTCAAACTCCCTCCCACAGCCCTCACCCCCTCCTGCACCCCAACACTTTGCGTGTGATGCGTCTCTCAAAATATTTTGGTCAAAGGCAAAAATTAAAAAATGGCTCCTCTTCTTTGAAAGGTTGCCAACCCCTGGGTTAGACATTAGGAAAAACCTTGTGACTATAGGAGTAATTAAGAACTAGAACAAATTACCTATGGAGGCTGTGGAATCTCAGTCATTGGAGGTTTTTAAGGAAAAGTTAGACAGGGATGGTCTAGATAATACTTAGTCCTGTCTCAGTGCAGAGGAATGGACTAGATGAAGTATTGATGTCCCTTCCAGTCCTAAATTTCTATGATTTTATGAAATGTCAGATCTCCTTACAAACATACGACCATATCAGCTTACCTACATAGGGAAATGAGACTCAGTGCTAATATACTCCATAGGTATTTTACTTGTCTCATGTTATTGGACCTGTTTTAGAGCAAAAGATCCCCAAGTTCTCTCTAGACACATATTTGTTACGATCACACAAGAGAAATGCTGCATCACATGAAGCATGAAAGTACCATACATGCAGTGGAGAGTGAACGCAGGTGTCCTAGGTTCCATTCCTACTTACCACTGACCATGCAGGTTGGTAAGGTAAGTCACTGCCTTTCTCTGCCTCAGTTTCTCTGTCGGTAAAATGGGGATAATAATAGCAAAAGAGCTTTGAGATAAACTGATTAAAAATGTTATAAAAGAGCTAGCTTCTATTTTACTGTTGCACCTGCAGCATACAATTCTCTATTGTCCTTTTTTAGCTCAAGAAAGAGACGAGGAAGGACTGGATGTAATTTATGCTGCATGTGTTTGTCTGCCAGAAAAAGATGATAAAACGTTTAAATAATCAAAACAGGATTGTAGTCTTATATATTGTTATTTGCTGTTGAACTAAGCTGTCAAAGGCCCAATCAGCAGTGGGGGTCCACTGTGGTAGGCACTGTACAAAGAGAGGAAAACAAAGTCCCTGCCCTTAATGGTTTATAACCTAATTTGAAAATATGTTTTTAGAGTTTAATCTTTGTTTTTATTTTCAGATACAAGGACAGATTAGGGTACTTGTCTGTTAGTGTATGGTCTTGCATACGGAGTTAGGAGCAGCTAGGGTGGCCAGAATTTACCAACATAAGAACAAAGAGTTGTTCGATGTATCAAATAAAATGACTATTCCCTTGCCTGACATTAGTTACTTGCACCTCCCTACAATGAAATCTAATAACTATGTCTTAATTTGATAGGACACACAATATGCCATCTGGATATACACTATTAATCCCTAGGGCACCCAGGTTAAGAGAATGAAAATATTTATTTTCTGCTTTGTGCAT